ATATCTTTAGTGATTTTTTTGAATTCTTTAATTATTATTTTATTAATTTCTATTATTGAAAAACAAAAAATTATCTAAATAAATAAATAATTTGGTAAAAAGTGACAAGAAAACCTTAAAAAAATATAGAAACCATTAAAACTTTATATAAAAAGTTTTTGGTTTAGATTTTTTTATTATACTCATTTTAATCATTGGATTTTTAGTTTTTAGATTTAACCCTCAAAACTTAAAGGTTAAATGCTAATTTTGGTCCTTAGCTTTAAAATTTTACACAATTTTCATCCCTAACTTTTTATGCACTTTTTTTAATCCCTCAACTTAAAAGTTTTGGGGCTAAAAACATACATATATGGATAAAGTTAACAAATTAATTGATAGAAGGATTAAAAAAAGCATTTTTCATAATTGCAGAACCAAAAAAGTGCTAAAGAAGTTAAAGGATGAAAACTATACAAAATCTTAAAATTAAGAGACCAAAATTGATATTTAACAAACTCAAACCATTTCAAATCACTTCAATTGGGTTTTTAGTCAAACAAGCTCAAAACACAATCAAACCCTTTCCATCAATTATGGTTTCATCAATTTTCAATTTTTTTTTTGTTTGAAAATTTTTTAGCCCACCCCTACCAGTAATAATAAGCAATAAATATACAACCCAATCAAACCAATAAATCAATCAAAATAATGAAATTGTGTGGGCAAGGTGAAAACCTCCATGTAATGGGATACCTATCATACGGTATACTCTTGCCATTATTTATAATAGAAGATAGATTTTCAAGTTAACTTGCAAAAAATTAAGAAGTTTAGGTATACATGTGAAATTATTTAAATATACTTAATAAATTATCAATGTATCACTATATCTAAAAAAGGAGGGGAGTGGAACCCTAGCCGATGCTCCCTTCCTCTTTCTTGTTACCATTTTTCTTCTCTTTCCTCATTTTGATTCTTATATTTTTCTCTTCTTTTATTATGATTTTATTTTTTCTATCTAAGTTTTTCACAAGGGTTGTTGCCTCTCTTTAAGACTAGTTTATGTGAGAATTCATCCTTCTGGGTATAAAGCATATGAGTTTTATCATTATTTGATATTTTGTCATAACTCAATTTTGATTGGGTATATAATTGAAAATTTTTTACAAAACCTCAATTAAAATTAATTTCTGATAAATTCCATTTTAGGACTTCAATAACAAAATGAAAATGAATTGCATAAAAATAAAATAAATTGTACTTAATTGTAAAAAGCTAAGATTTTAAAATTGTGAATTACAAGACTAAATTGATGAAAAAGAAATCATGAGAATCTAAAGACAAGCTGCAGAAAAAACGACGTCATTTAAACACTGTTCAATGGAAAATAAAAGGGACTCGATCAGAGCATAAACCTATTTTAACCTTTTAACTTAATAAATTTGTAGGTTTTAACTCCCCACTTTAGACAATGACATTTTTAGTCCCTCACCTATAAGAATTGAAGAAAATAGCTCTTATTTAACGTTTTGTTAGCTAACTGTTAGTTCTGTTAACTACTATTAGTTCTATTAGTTGACTGTTATCATTCTATTATAAAAAACATGAAATTTAAATTCAATTTTACTTGTTAGTTCCATTAACAAAATACTAACCATCAACTAACAGAGTTAATAATTAGTTAACAGAACTAATAGTTAGCTAATAGAACTAACAAAACATTATAAGCTGACATTAAATATGGGTTATTTTTTTCAATTTGTATAGGTGGGGGGTTAAAACTTACAAATTTATTAAAGTAAATGGCTCAAAGTAAGTTTTTACCCCTAATCGAGCCCTACATCGAAAAAAGAAAATTCCTAAATTCTTAAAAGTTGCGTTGGTATTTCTTCTATTTCTTCCCTAGTTTCTGATAGCTGCGTTAGTTGCCCTATTGTCAATTTTGTAACAGTTTCTCTTTTGATTTCTCTCAAAAAATTTTATCAATTCATATTCAATGAAATAACGATTATTTGAGGGGATTTTCAGAGCTAAAATCAAGCAACCAAGGAAATCAGGAGAAATCACAAGTCACAATAATCTGAAATTAGCTCAAAGATTGTAGCCTTAATTCATAATGCCCAAAGGTAATCTAGCCTTGAAAGAGGAGTAAAGGTGCAAATAAGGATTTTAACTTTGCATTTTTTTCTATTTAAGGATGTTAACTTTGTTAGTTTCTAAACAAAGATGTCAACTTTCAATTTTTTCTAAATAAAGATGTCAATTTTCAACTTTTTCTATTTAAGGATGTCAACTTTCAATTTTTTCTATTTAAGGATTAATTGAATAGTGATGCTGATGTGGTTAACATATTTTTTTAGGTTAAATATCTGAATTGGTCCCTCAACCTTAATTTTTGAACAAATTCATCCTTAAACTTTAAAAAGTACCAAAAACATCCTTCAACTTCAATTTTCAATTTCATATTTCCGTCAATTAAATGTTGATGTAGCTAATTTTTTCGCTAAGTGATTGACTATTTTACATTTTCAATATTAGGT